ATTTATTTCAGTTATGACACTGATATTACATACGTGGATACTTATATGCACATCTTACTTGTAGTTTACTGTTCGTCACAAAATCGAGTCAGTATTGGCTTTATCAGACATTATGCTTTAGATACAGTATAAAATTCTCGGGACAATGTGTTTCAACACGTTTCCTTTTCCTAATTCTAGATCGATCCTGACGACAAATATTGAGTAGTTGCCAGATAGAAGTTAGCAGTCCAAGAATCGATTTCTGATTAACGTAGATTTTTTCGCTGCATATTGCCAGCAACCACGATGTCTTTGGTTGAGCTTTTATGCAACTTGTACAGCAGAAGTTTGTATGTTTTTCATAAACGCTCCTTAACAGGTTTGCGAATAACAAGTATGGTGATGTGTTAAAACAACCAAAAACGGATAACTTGTTGAAACATTCAGATGGCATAAACAGGCGAGCTAGATGTTCAAGCAAGCAAGCAACAACAGAAAACAATGATAAAATACAGTATTTTGATATTTGATTCTAAGTTGTTTATGTTCACTGGTAAGAAAAGACATATAATCACTGAGCTACATACATTTTTCATTTTATTGAAAATATCACCTCTAAGTCGAATGCGAAATTCCATGCAAATCATGACCCTATTTGAAAAGTACTCTATGGGTTGTTGTGTATGGATTCGCTAGTCATCTAACGTTACATGGTTTATAGTTAATAAATGACAATTCCTTTTGTGGAATGATAACCTGTGGTGTTTGAATGAACTAATGATACCTTAGTACTTGTTAAATGCTTGATTTCGAATTCTAAATACAGTACATCCGTTCGTGGTTATCTAGTACTTCTTGATTCGATAACGTTATTTCTGGGATTCTTAGTTCATAATATATTTCAAATACCCCAAATTATCACATTCGCGTCTTGATGGAGTCTGTGATGGAATGGTTGTATATACATTCAGATTTCGGTGTTTTTGATGATTACTTGGAAATGTTCAAAATTTGGGCTATGACCAAGCAAGATAATGAGGATGTTAATATTGTGGCACATTTCCTCACATTCACTGGAAAAGAAGCATACGACTCATTAAAAATTCTGGCTTTACCGGAAAATTCCATTTCGCTTCCTTATACAGCTCTCAAGCAATTACTGCTAGACTATGTTAAGTATACAAATTTCGATTGCGGTAAAGGAAGATTTCGTAAAATGATTCTCAAGGATATAAAAAATTTCACTGCATTACGTCACCCCAACCCAGTGCATACTGTAGGTTATGCATATAATTCATTGAGGAGTTGCGATGCAGTTCACGAAGATGGGAACAAGTTTGGTCAATGCTTGTCCTGTGGCAGGTTCCACTCTTTTAATTCATGTGAATTTCGTAATTCTGAGTGCTTTAATTGTAGTGATACTGGACATATTCAGTCAGTTTGTAATACTACTGTTCATCGTGCTGCAATGCATATTAAGTCTTGTAATTCTGATTCTATTAAGTCCAGTGTTCCTAATCATCATTTATCCTTATCAACGATTTCAAAAGACAGTGTAGAGTCATATAGCAGTTCAGAGTTAAATGAAACTCAGAATCCTTGCTAGACAACAGTTACTAATCAATCGATTTATCAGATTTCTCATGTTATTGTACCAGATATTGTTTTTCCTAATGATTCATATACTTCTGATAAAATTCCTTACAAATGTGAGGAAAATATGTTGAATGAGCTTAGTCATGATCGAAAACTTGATGTGGTTTTGATGGATGCTGATTTTTCTAATGATCCTTTACTCTGCAATGACATTCTTAATCAATTTGAGGAAACTATTTTAGAAGAGTCGAAGCTTGATGTCATACCAAATATTATTTGTGCTCATAATGCACTTGTTTCTCATGGGAAACTGGTTCAATGCGAAGCACAAGTACTAAATGACCTCGATTGTGATTACAATTCGGATGATTTCATATCAACTGCTGTTTATCCTTGTCACAAAATCACTTCCGATGATTACTCTAATCAATGTGAGAAATACATTTTAAATGAAGCCACATCATTCATAAATTGGGGATATAGAGATCCAACACTATTTGGTGGGGGAGGATAGTGTGAAGTCTATGGTTCAAATTCTATGTAGCAGCTATTACAGTACACAACCGACATGCTGATTACACGATCCTAGGAAGCAGGTGAGTCTGTTCCAATTTCGGTTGTTAATTCTAACGAGTGCATTCTAGATAATGGAGTTTTTATCCAGTACAATGTCGGACAGACACAGGATGAATTTGAGAAGACGTACAATTGATTACAAACACTTAGACTCCAATTTAAGATGTGGCGGATATGGCGTTTGGATGAACTAATGATACCTTTGTACTTGTTGAATGCTTGATTTCGAATTCTAAATACAGTACATTCGTTAGTGTTTACCTAATACTTCTTGATCTGATTACGTTATTTCTTGGATTTTTAGTTCATACTACAATTCGAATACTCCAAATTATCACATCACCTCATTCAAATAGTTGAAAATGGCATTTTTACAGCAGCTTCACTGTTTGTTGATTGGCTTCTGTCGTCTTTAATTCGTCGATTTTTTCACCTATTTTTTCACACATTCATGTTGTGCTCCACTGAAAATGTTGTTGAATATCAAATATTTCCTGCACTCCTGTTTGCTTATCGAATTTCGTAATTGCTAAGATTTGCGGCTGATTCCTGGTGAAAGTCATCTTCACAAATTACTTACAAATTTCACAAGATCATTTCGAACCTAGTTTGTCAATACGGAATTCCCTTTCCCCCTGTTCTACAAAAAAAGTAATTGTCAACTTCTCCAGTGTAAACATTTTATTATTTTTACAGTTACATATATGTGTACACACCAATCATTGAGACCAATCTATTTGTGGGGAGGGCCTGCTATTAGCTTTGAAACAAAACAAAAACCAAGTACATTAATGAGGAGTTGTAACATTGAACGAGTTAACTAATGCTGTTTACACAGATTCGATTGAAAGTATTAAAACGAGTTATTCTATATATGCTGATGAATATCATTCTCAAGAGTTTGTGTCTTCCAGTCATGGCATGGAAATGCGTCATTGTTTCGAACGTTATGTAATTGAACTGACCATAGAATATTGTGTTATCAATTTGTAATCAACATACTGAAACATGAAAATCTAGAGTAATTTGCTTTAAAGGGTCAATCATTGGTAACAATGAACACTTGTTGTTGTTTAAATCAAGCTCTTGTATATAAATTATGACTACGCTCATATTTATCGGTAGCGGGATGCTGATAGTTTCTCGACGTTCAGTAGGCCGATTCAAATGTTGTGGTCGAGATGTCTGAGTTACCTGGACTAACCCATTTAACGGTCACATATCGTTATTTTGTTGTTAAAAGGGGATGAATATTAGGGAAGTTGACATATTAATGATAATTTTTGGGGTTATCATCATTTTTATTTCTGTTATGTAATTAGCATCGGATAACTGTATGGTTGCCATCATATATTACAGTGTTTATAAGCTTTCAATTGATCTATTGACTAGTGCTGTACACTTTACTACCCCTTGGTAATTGGTAATTTATAATGCATCATTTGTGCTGTTCTCTAACACGTGTTGATCGATAATTGGAATACTGATCGAGTAATATGGCACGTGATATTTATTACTGTCTCTGTACATGGTAACTTGGTGACTGCAAGACACAACAGTGTATTTAGTCATTCGCATACATCTCACAATCAGAATCCTACATTGTTGTATCTGGTCATCAACATGCACCATATCAACTTGAAATATTTCATTTCATTCCAAATTGTCACTTCAGAATTGATGGTTTACTACTTTTGTGTGGTTGTGGTTTGTGTCTACGATGTCATTCTGCACTGTCATAATAGAGGATCTTGTTAAGACAATATGAATTCAACTTTTATTCAAAATCTTACGTGTTACTAGTAAATTAATTTCCATCCGAATGTGGTGAGAACTGAAATCACAAAGTTAAACCAGCATTTTCACTTTTCTTCAAGTGAAATTCACATTTGACATCATTATGTAAAAATCGTTTGAAATAAAATTCAGGTTCACTGGTTTTAGAGAACACCTCACGTTTGCTTTGATTCAATTTTAGTCAACAATGTCCAATAATCTAAGTGATAATACCATTCGTTATACTTGATTTCTTGCATCTCAGTGTTGAATTGAATGCTACGACACGAATATCATACCTCTTGCCTTGAACAGTCAAGTGACATTTTACGAACTGATGAGTTGATGTAAATGATACACCGGTTTAACAAGCATGACATTATTAATAATGATGACCATCCAATGGTTGGACGTTTGTGTATCCAGTTCATCAATCGCAAATAAAACAAAGTGTGAAGTCTGAATTATCTTACTAGCCAACACTACTCATACTATGATACTGAGCAATTGAAAACCTTCAGTGGTTTAAATACCCGATCATAGAAGATTTCAAAAATAGTCAGTAAAAGGTATGAAATGGGGTAGTGGTAAAGTTGTTTCGAACCAACCAACGAACATCATACTGGAGAGACACTCAGTAATAACTTACAATACATTTTGATGAAAATGACTATCCCATCATCTGTGACATCACATAACAGCTCACTTTCAACAAAATACCAATGATGAACATCATACGTTGCATAATAATTCACATCTCATCTAACACACAATTGAAATGCATCGATTTAGTGGACTTACACAAATATAAACTGAATTCAGATTTCACATAATGTAAAGTATTCAATCCGTTATTGACATTCTCGAAAACTTTTATGAAAAAAACGATAAGAAAATCAACAATTTGATTCGCTTCATTAATGGTGAAATAAAGAAGATGGTCAGTCATTGGAATCAAATTCTAATACAACACATTGATGTCGATTCGCACTTTTGGAATTACAACGACTATTATAGACAAGTCACTTTATCATAAACTGATCCTACTTCACTACAAAACTGAACAAACATTAAAGATTTGTCTTACCTTCAATATGTTGTGGTAGTAGGTTGATGTAACACGCTGAACCATTGCGATTAGCTGCCTCCACTATTCAATTGAGAAAAGTAAGTAACTTGAAACACATAATCACGACAAGATAAAATCATATCAACCTGATGCTCGTTGAGTCAGTTACGCGACCTACATGTCATTTTATGTTTACTTACTCGTGTACGAAGTTACTAGAAGTATATCTGTGTAGTGATATTTCCAAAGAACCAGGTACGTCAATGATGGACATTGTAGTTCAACGAGGTAACAAAATGTATGAAACAACGTTTTCCCTCCTCATATAATAAATAGACAAATGCAAGTTAGTATTCAGCAACGTGATTGCTTGCAATATGAAGTCATGTGTACTATCACTGTTGACGTTGTTACCAAATAATACGAGCGTGTTTTTTCAACTGTTTGCAACCAGTTGTATGTCTCACCTTTTAACACAGACTGTTCACCTTCCATCCAGTGACTACTACACATATGACGTCAGGACCTATTTCAACTTCATATGTTCACATAATCATAACTATGGAAGTGTCATTTCTCAGTCATCAATTCACTGAATACGTATGTAACATTGAAATTGTTCCAGTATGTTGAAATAAAAGACTCATAGTGATGTCGTGTAAGTTGAAACGGAAAACCTGCAAACTGATGTCATCCGAACATGTAGAAAGTGTTCAATAATCAATCTTTTAGATAGTATGGATGGATTTTCTTCTCTGTTTACTTTCTATTGTCAGTAACGAACAAACGAGCAAACGTCTTTCATGAGCATTCATGAACACAAAAATGTCGAGGAATACAAGTGTGAGAAAACATCTTGAGAAATATATCTCTTACTTTGATGATGCTTCTTTTGTTTTTCGAAACAGTCGATCAATTCAGTGAAGTTATAGTTGGTAACTAGGGCTGGTAAAGTAGACAAATTTGAAACATTCATCGAAATACTTAAAAGACCATTCTATTCAAAAGTGTAATTAACTGTCTCAAAGTATCACCATCTTATGTGTAAGTTGAATTGATCACAGATTATTGATGTAGAATAGACTAAACCGAAAACTTACGACTTTTAAATTTGTTGAAATGAATAGTTTTTATCATATCTGAAAGCGTATGAACATAGAACTTGATGTTATATGGATGTATAAATGGCTCAAACAGTACAAATAGAGTGAAGTATGTCATAGAATGCCGCAGCATACACAGATCTCATTCATCAGTTAATACAATTAAATATTGCATATGTGACACAATACCCGATCACTAAGAAGAAAGTAACACTGTGATGGATTAGATAAAAATAAGAATCTTCCACGGTAGTCATTATCAATCAATCAAAGTGATATCCGAAAGCTTTTGAAAACTTTGGGTAATTTGTCAGCATCAGTCTTTATTTACAAAATCACTTCACACATTCATCACTTTTCCATATACTCCAATCAAAACATAATAATATTCATTTCATGGTTTCTTCAGTGATCAGAATCAGTCTGAAGATACCTGCCATCTATAATGATTAACATTTTCATTTTCATTACCTCTATCAACCAAACTTCACTTCCACAATCTAACACAGAAGCTACTGATCTATAAAATACTAAGTGTCGTAGACTCTTCCGTGACTAATCAACCAACCGAAATAATAAATGGATAGTACGAATGAAAAGAAGCTTCACACTATGTTATGTGTTATGTTTGCAATTAACGAAGGTGGTGAGAACGAATTTCAAGTGACGTGTTTGTTTGAGCTGAATTTTGCAAGTTACTATTTACTGGAGCTTAATATTGAAGTGCAATATTTACCGACAATTGTACGAACTGAAGTACACTGGATATTCTTCCATGAATGAAAGACTAGATACCACCGTATTAATACCTTTATACATGTGCATGTATAATTCCGTCTGCCTTTGATTTGTTTGCTTTCACTCATTTCTTATGTTTATCACTGATTCTCTTCCACATTCCGTTCAAAACAGCTGGAATGACATTGATGGATATAACATTTTTGTCTTTAGTAAGCTGACTATATGGCATGAACGTTACTGCAGTAAACACACTGTGTGTGAAGAGTTGTATTACACAATATCACCATGCTGGTACATAAACAAAGCATTCAACTAACCTTCACACAACTTGATAAGATTTTATTCAGTTTGAACAGTTGAAGATAATCTGTTATGTTGTAGTGTGTTACTTCAACATCACACAATCATGTCTCATTCACAAAGCTTTGGAACATTCTGCGCAAAGTGTGTTTGATGTCAACTATATTTTCGCATCTGTTCTATCCGTCAAAATACACCGAGTATCTCATATTGAAAAACAGTGAACGGAATACACGCAGGAGGATGGATGAAACCAAACATGTACGCATGAATGCAAAAGATCATGGTGAGAATCGAATACATTACAGGACTAAATATCCCAATATACAGTAAGGACCGATGTGACGAACGATAATTTCCCATCTCATAACTGAATAAACTGATAAGCTGAGTTACGATATAAAAGCCACCACACTATACAAAATTCTCACAATTTCTAACGAATCAAATGAAAAATAATTTTCGACGAATAACTTACGACCGAATATTCTTGCCCCATGTTCGCTTTCATAAAACATGCGTCGGCATTCGATCACTAAATTTATTAAATTCATTGTTTCAATATTATTGATCGATAACTTACCTTCATCAGACTGTACACCGTGATTCTTCAAATCTGCATTTGTTTCCTCTGTGAACACATACATTTCATAACAACAGTATTATATTGTAGTATAAGAATATGGATGGATCGTCGAATTTCATGGTTTAAAATCGGTAACTATCTTCATTTTAACAATCGTTGAACGACAGTAAGCAATAGGTACCTGCTGTGAGGATTGATGTCTGACTATCACTGATTTTCTACTCCTATATGGCTAGCAATACAGAACTATGCAGAGCTGCATTATCCTCAGCTTTGTTAAAAACGGCCTAAAAATACCTAGTAACATAACTTGTCCGAGTAACCACTACATGAAACAACTTGGTTCGTCCTCTGTTTTGTTCTCTTCAACGTACATGCATCTTAGCCTCATCCTAATATACCACACTCAAACCTATTTTATCTACACTGCTGTTGTTCAAATCATTCATCAAATGCTTCAATTCTCATGCGTTTATGTTGCATTATGTTTGATCACAGAGCAGAGACTGGCTTGCAAAACAATGAAATCATCCTTCTCAACACTAGTCGGTGAACAGTGAACTGAAGAATACTTTTAAATGCAATACTATCAACTCAGACTTATTCACTACAATCTCATGTACATACCATCCTGTCAAATCAACGCAATCGATAGTCGTCCGAACTGCTATGAAGGGACGAATAGTGGCAAAGTTTTAACTTTCTAGACTATTTTTCGATTTATTATAATTGTTGACATTTTCACTAAACACTTAGTGCATAATTAATTGTTGCATTCCGACATTACACTTGATGTAAGCTTTCGGTGAATCCTTTGACTATTTCCATGCGTTTCATGGTTGATTTGGAGAGTACGCAGAAATAATCTGACTTCCATCTGTGCCTTCTGAATGTGTACATGGTTAGATGGAGATCTAGGACTGAAAATCGTTAAATCAGTGACTGTCTTTCACTGATCACTGGGTCAAGTAGTGAACTATGTCACTGGAGTAGCACATGAAACTGATCAGCATACCAATACCTAACATACTAGCGATTTCAAGACACAACACATACCGTGAGACAGTGCGCACAAAGAACAAGCAAATTCATATGTTCACTGTATTCGTGCACATCTGAAACCAACCGTTGTCCATTGTTCACAACTGTAATTGTACAGTTTACCAGTTCACTGGACAGATACTGTATCTATCATATGTACTCCACGTTTTCTAATTTTGACTCAGTTAGTTACACCATGGAATCGGGCCGTCAGTACACACTTCATACCCAGAAATATCAGTGAAATGTATAGGGTCATTTATGATGATGATCAAACAACTCTTGGATTCAGTAAATTTGAGATATCCAAATAATTTACGTACCTATAAGCTTCTCAATAACAAGTCTTGTCTTTTGTACTTTATAGTCCAACGCTTTCAATTCACCTGTGGAAAAAGTACAGAATAGTTTGTCTTTGTTGAAAAATCTATTTCTTTTTATTTACCGAAAAATCAATATGTGGAAACATTTGCTTGATGGATCACAGTTATGTGAGATTATCAAGGATTCAAAAGTTGTATATGCAAGTACACATGCGTGCAACGTGTTGGGTAACACAGATGCATGAATATAGGTGATAACTACTCCCTACCAAAGAATGATATGCAGTTTTCACATAGAACTGTCTTCGGTCATGGAAATAAAACAGTCAATGTTTGAAAGAACTAGGTCAGTATCTGTAATGCAATGTGATTTATGATCATCAGTGGACAAAGAGAAAAACATAACGTGATTTCGGTTAATAAACAGTGTCACATCGTGAATAAATGATTCAGTGCTTTAGAAAGATAGAGAAATGCTTACTTGCCTTTATTAAGTTTCATTATTTCTTTAAGCGTATCCATATCAATTTGTGAGGATTTCACATCTAAATATCGGAAAGATTCAATATGTCAATTACTAATTCATCCAACAAGTAAATCACGATCATAAAAATGTATCCACAAGAGGAGGATGGTAAACTTGATGTGTGTATCATTGTCATATAATTGAATGTATCCATTGTATATGCGTATGGAAGCGTAACTAACTACATTTGCTGATATGAAACAATGTGACTTAAATAAAGTGTAATCGCTTTGTCAGTTGAGGTTATAATTACAGAATACCGTTACAAGAACTAAACATTATTAGTTTACTGGCTATCCGATTTGAAACGACTTTCCCGTAATTAGAATAAGAAGCCTTGACTAATATCAGTGAGTTATCATTCATGATCCTTGTTTGACGATTACATAATTCTTCTTAAAATTACTGAATTTTAAAGTGAGAACAATCAAAATATGAGTCAGTGATCTAAATGTATCCTACTTGTCATCAGACATGAATCGTCAATTTTGCTAGCCATCAATGGTTCACAATGTTGAGGAGAACGTAACTAGCATTAAATGACTGTACAGTGATATCTGCTGTCTTCTATTTGACCACGTCATTTGGAGATTACGAGGAATGTCATCTTGAAATTAAATGCATTGCAAATGTGATCACCTGTGATTTGTAAACAAGATGTAACAGATAACAAACAACTACAGAGTAGCAGTATAACAATCACATCAGAGCATGAGATTCATGTAAAATGAGTAAATAGAGATGATATTATTGGTAGTACAAACTGTTGCTTCATAGTCAGGTTTGTCATAGTTTATTTCGACTCTTGTTTGTCTGAAGGAGCTTTCTTACATTGAAATGGTATCAGTGGATAAATCTGAAATAAACTGAATGACAAAGATTGAAACGTTCATCTTCGTCATTCTGTTTCCTATTTGATAATGCTGAAACAGAACCACAATCCAAATAGCTTATCACTCGAGGTAGATTACAACAAAGCTGTGTTAATATAACAATCAGAACACTATGTTAACTGTAACTACTAAAGTGTGGTTAAAGTCAATAATGGTGAATTATTAAATCCTATGAGTATTCGAACACACTAACCCATTTGTATGGTTATGCACAGCAACAGAATAATGATGATACAGTTGTATGCCATCGAATGAAGTACAACTCTGATGATTCTCCTAATAAAACACAGCTATCTTTGTCATTTTATATAGTGAATACAGAACAGAAAGGTTTGCACCAATTACCTTTTGACAAATACAGTAAAATATTTGAATAACGATGTATGGCGTTGGTGATTTCGATAATCCATCTTCATAGTCGGTCGTTCCACATATAGAAAACACCCACACTCATATAGATCGGAAGTATTTCTTTGATCACATTGAATGATTGATGTTTATCTTTTATTATTTGGCTTCATTTAATGAATGATCGTTAACATAAAAACAAAACCAGACTAGTTCTATCTGGAATGCGCTAATCCTGTCTGGTCAACACTGATATGCTCACAATAGTCTACAAAAGTCTATAAAAATATAATTAGACTGAAGAAATATTTCTTCTCAATTAGCTGTTCATTAAGGCTCTATGGAGATAGTTTGGTTTTACAAGTGAGTAGAAAGTCGATACCATTTAGATTATGGTGAGTCAAGTTAGCATTTGAATGATTGAAACCATAACTGAAGTGAGGATTCATAATCACCTAATTATCACAACTACTTGCAAAAGAGAATCAATGGGAATGGAGATTGTATGTAAGTAATGTTGATGATGTTTTTGTTAACGGTGAAAATATTGATTCGTTTACAGTAAGATTTATCCAATTAAAATATACAATAAAAATGAAAGCGTCAATGACAAGGTTGGATTTGATAGATTCAAATAAATTGGACATTGGGTAGAAAGTGAATAACCGAATTCGGTTATTTGGTCGTCGCAATTGTTATATCTGGTCGTCACTGATTGTTGTGCCGGAAAAACGCTGATCACTTATACTCAGAACGAGAGACCTCTGCAATTCCCACGATACGAAAGTAAGAACACAAAGACTAGTATAAGTGAAGATTTATTAGCCTCAAAATACTATGACGACGACTACGATTATGATGATAATAATAATAATGAATAACAATAGTCTAAAATACACTGGTTTATATATTGATTGTACACCCATTTTGATTGAGAATTAGGACTAAATCACATACTCAGTTATAACAAATCACTTACTAAGCATAGTTCATGTCAATGGAATACAAGAATATCGTATATTATACAGAAGAAAATATTATACTGGGAAAACAAATCAAGTACTATATTAAATGATCCTCACGTTGAATCAAAACGGATGTTGAATAAAACTCATAATGAGTAATTCCATCATACCACGAAGTAATACTGTTTATATCTTTGTATTATTGCTAAGTAACTAGACTATCATCATTCTATATTCTAATCGTTGTAAGCTGATATTTTACCCACTAACTATCGCTGTGCGTCTCATCAGTCGTTCACCTGATTTAAAGTCACTTATTGCCTGTTCGAGCATAACTATGAATTTCCGTTTTATAGAGTGGTCTGGTTTGGTTTGTTAGTATATAAACCTGTGGCCTGGAAAAAATGATAATAACACCTGACTGAAGACTTCCTTTTCACACTCATGGTTGAGGATGGATGGAGGCGTACAAATAGAGGTACAGCTTATGTAGGCTAAAGGTTTTTTGTGTTAGTCATAACACATAACTGATCAAGATGAGCAAAAACAGGCTAAAAACAGAATGGTAGATGTGAATTACAAAGATTATAATGAGTGATTTTGGCGACTACGGCTTTATCGCAGTGCAGTTCCTCATTAATGGTAATGTCAGCGTGTTCGGTAACACAAAAACCACGACGTCGTTTCAAGTAGATATAGATTATGTCCAATCACACAAAATAAGCTTTTAACACGAACACATAAATTACCTCGAAGGCTTCACTAGTGGGACCTTTATGCTAGTGCACCAACTTGATTTAATTGCCAATCTAGAAAAATAGTTAGTTAACGTTCAATGTGCGCTTGCTTTTCGCCTATTTCCCCACATTGCTGTAAGCGAACCGACCATTAAATATGACCACTTCTTCATTGTGGTGTTCTGATTGGACTGAAACTTCCGTATGACTCTTTTGAATCATCCATGCACCTATTATTTGGCCGATAAGTACTTCATAATGAAGATGTAGACACTGCAGCACTTTGAAGTTGTTTCTAATTGTTTTCTATGCTATTTAAGAAAACGAAACGGGTGGTTATAGCCAAGTCATTTAACACCCAAGCTTTGCATCCCAAATCCCCAACAAACTCTGAAGTCTTATATAGACATGAATCCCACATATATCTAGAATTTCTATCTACACACTTATGTTATGCAGTCACAGGTATTTTTGTTGACAATCTCACTAGATTTCGAGGTTTTTACGCCTCTTTTCAAGCGCACGTGGTTTGATAAGTATAAAACTACAAGGACCTGGTCTCAACAAATTCACACCATTCTTCTCAATCCACTCTAGAAACATTTGTACATTGATAGTCTTAAATGATTTATTCTGGCTTTAGGACAGAGTTCAAGACCTTGTGCAGCATATGACTACTCGGTCATTTTTACCTCCATAATACCTTCATTTTTTAGGGAACTGTGGCATTTAGCAAGTATATGCTTTATATTCATGAGCTTATTGTTCTACTCTTATACACCTTGTTTTTACTTGCGTGTGTGTGTCACTCATTATTTTATCCAGCGCCTTTCCCATTGTCACACTGAGAAGTATCTATATTCAGCTAAGCAAGAACACTGAGTGGAAAAACGTAGTTGACACGCGTGCCTACATAATTGGCAAGATCAGTTTTTAAATCTTCACTTACAAGCTTCATTGTTCCGTTATTCATATTGTTAGCTTGATTGCTGCCATTTTCCTTCTCTTTATTAAAATTTACTCAAACTTTATTTCGCAGATATTCAACTCTTCCCATCACCTTGTTCAATTCACATGACAATTCAATGTTTAGTTATCAGTGTTACACTCACTGTTTATTTACAATAACACTCAGTGAAATTCAAACAGGAACATTGTCTCGCAACGACTTTCACATCTCGATTAGGTTTCATCCCCGATGTTTTTACCTTCGTGTGTTTGGATCCCGTTTTCAACATTCGTGTCAGTGAATGAAACTGTACACTTTAACAGTTGTCTAAATGAGTGATTGCACACAAAACAGAACACAATTATAGTGTATTGATATTAAGACGTCAATGAACTGGTATGATAAACCATCAGTCGGGGAAACGTAAACAAGAGGTTTGACAAAGAATCTCAGTAGGCATTTCCACCCAGATCATCTGATTACTAATTCAACACTCACATACAAACAGATTGGATTCAGAACACTTGACTCTAATGTAATCTGACTTCAACCTGGTTAATAGTATGGTTTGTCTACCCAGAACTGGCAAAGCTTTATGTCGATTAAATCGTACGTTGGACTATACAGAAGTTTCTTTCTGTGAATTTTGAAAGGCTCGAATTGTTTAACGAAACAACACAAGTAAAACCTACTATAGTCATCGTTTTCTACTAACAAACATATCATTGGATTACTGTGGTAAACAGTAGTCGAGGATTGTTATATCCTAATGAAGAATAAATGAATGTTAACTATTGGTAATTATCTATGGACTGTTGCTGTATCTAGATCCATGTTGTTTAATTTTTATGTTACTAGATTACATATATTTATATTCTCTCATTATAAGCATTTATTTGGCCGATATGTTACTATTACATGATTTACCATTGTTTAGTTATTCCTAGTCCATTATATACAGTCAATACACTCACAGCCACTATTGGCTTAATCTTGTATAAATGTCATTGTCTACTTCATGGTATGATGCGGACTGATTTTTTTGTATGCGAACTACATATGTCTAAAATACATGATTCATAAAATGGAAGCTGAGATCGTGTTTTGAACACGACGGGCATAACAAAAAGATAAGTCCCAATAAGTATTCTGAGGTGACTCATGAAACACTCATCCACACTAAGCACTGTAGATCATATAATCAGAAACTTCGTTTGACCTAATTATACAGCGATAGTAAACGGTAGTATCTATTTTTATTACCTTGACGTATAGTTTGTTCGATGGAGCTAAGTACCCACCTATATTCCTAATTAAAACCTTGAATCACTATTCAGAATATAACACATGACCAAGTTAAACTTATCCGACAGGTTACTTAATCACTCAGATCAATCACTAACTTATAGAGCCTGAATTAAAGTGAGATCGGGAAACTAGTAATCGGTTTTCATGAGAGTATACACTAAAATCTAAGTTTATTTAGATTATTGTATGTATATTGCCAAAACTGATTTTCTAAACTTTAATACATCCGTTTAGAACGTTACAGCAACCAACAATCTCAAAAAAGACGACAAGAGCGATAAGTCACTCTCTTCTCAATTTTTAAGTGAATAGGGAAAATTCCTACTATATTACAATCACCAATTCGATCACCAACCCGCTAAAAACAAAAGTTTATTATTTACTGGTAAGTTAAAATGAACAATACGTGAAAATAATTGTTGTAGAAGTACTCATAGTGATTACTCATTCAAAGTTACTATTCATTTAACCACCACAGAAACCTCAGGTGAATTCATTGTTTATATTTAAAAATCATCCCCATATTTGTTAATGAAGGTTGCCAAATTGCACTCCGAGTATTGTAAACAAATCTGGGAAATGTGAGTCCAGATAATTTGCTTCCAGTATAGCTTTTTGCTTCGAGAAACATCCCAACTATGTTTCTTGGAGGCAAGTGCAATTTGCGCGACGACTCGTTTTCATCTAGATTCAAAACTTCCCTCACTTTACATGCTATATTCTGAACAGACTGTGTAGAATTATCAATTTACCTTAATATCTGCAAACTCAGTCACGCCTAAATGAGGAAGTGTTGAAGAGTGGATATTAATTAGACTGCGACCATCAATCTGATTTTCAGTAAAACATTCCTATTACATATGCATTAGGACAACACATATTTAACCTTGTACTGAGAATATCCAATGCCTTCAATCCAAGAAGCAACTTGATTAACATCCCAAAGTAAAGCTTTTGGGATTTGAGTGCTATTACAGATTTCGGCGAAACTCATCACTATCAATGCAGAATATCGAATTTCCGCCACTCATATCTACGGCTACATGCCAACATCCAATAACATTGCGACGATTTTGAACTTTTGTAGCTAGTACTTCTATATAATTAAATCATTCATCCTAGCTTTCGGGCGGACTTTAACAACTCATGCAGTATGTGACTACTCAGTCGTTTTCGCCTTCATAGGGAGTTTTGGCCTTCAACAAGTATACATTTTATATTCATGAGCCTTTGATTCTACACTTACATGTCTTGTTTTTATTTTTGTGTGTCACTCATTATTTATCCAGTACTTGTCTCTATATTTTACTAAGAAGTAACTATATTGAGCTGTATCGGCGATATTAGTGGGTAATAAAAGGGAGTTGACACACTTGCCTTCGCCTTACCTCGCTTGCCCAATTATCATTTTTGACATCTGACTGATGAAACAAACGCATAGAATAAATTACTTCTACTTAGTCAGTATTTGACGGCTTATAACCGCCTTCATCTAAACAGAGTTAATCCAGGTGTAGTAGATGGAGTTAAATAGATTATTAGTATTCTAAAACTAAACAGTCCCAGCAAATTATATTTTTACAATATTAAGGGCTATAAGATTCGGTGTAAAGAAATAAAGGGAACACAACAGTCAAGACCAGTGGGTGAAAGTGTTTGCACAAACAATGTGAAATGACGAAAAATGATAATGATTGTGGCAGTAATAATGCACTTGACAGTACTGGGAATGATGCGACTGTTCTATATGGGGCTTGATCTTTCCTATCTTCTCCCTCCAACATAGCTAGAGAATACCCTGTTCCATTTGTCTTGAAGTTACTATAAGACCGGTGAGTGGCTAAACATATCACACGCCCTTGAATAAATTATTTGATCCACTGTTTCACTATTATAAAGCGGATGATATCGCGTCCAGGCGATGTTTAAAATATTCACTATTTAATTCCCTATAACACTAACCCAGGAATCAAGTAGATGATTCTCAAAGCGATCTCTGGCTTAGTATGGTGAAATGTTCCGCACTCGTTGGTTTCAGGGACTGTTTATTAGCAAGAGAGATATTAGAGATTGTTACTTACTATAGGAAGTTCATGTCCTTGTCAACGAAGATCTTGATATGTATGTACATCGATTCAAGTTGCTATAACCCATTGCCGTAAAACGATGAAATTACCGAGACAAATGACTGAATGGTAGAGATAGTAACAGTGTCAGTGGTAATAAGAAACATTGAGCATCGAATATACGATTCAGGGAGAAAATGTAAATTAGTAAAATACAAACACAAAAGACAGTTTTGAGGAATTCAGAAGTTCAGAACTCAGAGGAAGGCAAACGATTTTGAGTCATGACACTAAAAGTCTTTAACCATTGTTTACGATAATCACAGTCACCACAACCAGGTAGTCAACACCTATTGACATTAGTTACTTACTTACTTCCTTACATACGCCTGTTACTCCTCGTGAAGAAGCATAGGCCAACCATCAGCGCTTTCCATCCAACCCTGTCCTGACAATCCTTTCCAGCTCCTTCCAGTTGTTATCCATCCTTTTAATATCTGCTTCCATTATCCGACGCAATGTGTTCTTTGGCCTTCCTCTTTTTCGCTTCCCTTCAGGATTCCAAGTTAGGGCTTGCCTCGTGATGCAGTTTGACCATTTGCGTAATGTATGTTCTATCCATTTCCATCGTCTTTTCCTGATTTACTCTTCACCTGAAAGCTGGTGTGTTCTCTCCCACAGAAGGCTGTTGCTGATGGTATCCGACCAATGCATGTTGGATATCTTGCGTCGACAACCATTTGTTAATACTGGCACCTTCTTGATGGTGGTTGTTGTAGTTCTTCAAGTTTCAGCTCCATACAGTAGAACTGCCTTGACGTTGATATTGAAGATTCTGACTTTGATATTGGTTGACAGACAGTTGTTTTGAGTTCCATATGTTCTCCAACTGAAGGAATGCGGTCCATGCTTTGCCAATCCTCACCATTACGTCTGCATCTGAACCTCTTAGTTCATCGATGATGCTTCCCAGGTATGTGAAGAATTCTACAACTTCCAGAGTTTCGCCATCAAGAGTGATTGGATTGCTGTTCTCCGTGTTGTGTTTGAGGACTTTGGTTTTCCTCTTGTGTATGTTGAGGCCTACTGATGCAAAGACTGCTGCCAAACTGGCTGTCATTATCTGCATTCGTTCTTGTGCAAGCGATAGGAGGGCTGGGTCATCTGCAAAGTCCAAATCGTGTAATTGGTTCTGAGCTGTCCATTGTATACCGTGTTTTCCCTCAGATGTCAAGGTCTGCATAATCCAGTCGACCAACAGAAGAAGGAGGAAAGAAGAGAGTAGACAGCCTTGTCTGTCTCCAGTCTTTACTTGGAATGCATCTGTCAGCTGTCCTGCATGCACGACCTTGCATTGTAGTCCGTCGTATCAGTTCCGGATAATCTCCTCAGGAACTCCATAGTGTCGAAGAAGTTTCCATAGTGTTCCTCTGTCTACACTGTCAAATGCCTTTTCATAATCAATGAAGTTGATATAAAGTGATGAGTTCCACTCAACTGATTGTTCGACGATGATCCGTAGTGTTGCAATTTGGTCTGTGCACGACCGATCCTTACGGAATTCAGCTTGTTGATCTCGAAGTTGGGCGTCTACTGCGTCCTTCATCCGGTTCTGCAACACCCTGTTAAAGACTTTCCCTGGTAGTGACAGTAGTGTAGTGCCTCTGTAGTTTTCACATTTGCTCAGATCTCCTTTCTTTGGAATCTTGATGAAGTGTCCTTCTCTCCAGTCCACAGGCACTTGTTCTTCCTCCCAAATCTTCTTCAATACAAGGTGAAGCATGTTTGTAGTTACTTCCATGTCTGACTTCAGTGCTTCAGCTGGTAAATTGTCGGATCGTGCTGCTTTCCCTCTCTTGAATGTCTGATGGTCATTCTGATTTGTTCGGTCGTTGGTGGATTAACACCTAAGGGAGGAAGATCTGTGTGTACTGCTTCGATGTCCGGTGGATTCATTGGAGCCGGCCTATTCAGGAGTTCCTCGAAGTACTCTACCCATCTGCTCTGCTGTCGTTCAATTTTAGTGATTGGCCTGCCTTCTTTGTCTTTGACCGGTCTCTCTGGTTTACTATATTTCCCTGCTAGTTTCTTCGTTGTATCGTAAAGCTGTTTCATATTTCCTTCTCTTGCAGCCTTTTCCACCATCGTTGTTGGTTCTTCCACGTATTTCTTCTTGCTTGTTTGCTTCTATGTATTCAGCTTGTGTTTGGACTTTCTGTGCTCGTGTTCGGCTGTTGTTAATTGTTGTCTTTTTGTTCTTCCTTTCTTTGATCCTGTCCAATGTTTCTATAGAGGTCCATTGCTTATGATGATGCTACTTGAGGCGCAGAACCTCTTGACACGTTAAAGTTAATGCTTCCACGATACCTTTCCAGTTGTCCTCCATACTAGTTTCTTCTTCTTTCAGTAGATCTCGTAAGGCTTGAAACCTATTGTTGAGAGCTATCTTGAATTCATTGAGTTTGTCAGTATCTCAAAGGAAGGCTGTATTGAACCTTTGTAGTGCAGTTTGTCCACTTGTCCAGTTCCTGTTTAGCTTCAGTTTTAAATTGGCCACAACTAGGTGGTGTGGTGATCTGAAGCTATGTCAGCCGCTCTCCTGGTTCTCACATCTTCCATTGTCCCATGTCCACATGTTTCTACCCGAACTGCACTTATGTTGTTTTACTTTACACTTAGTCTTGGCGGCAGCCATATTGGTTTTTTCCTCCTTTTGATTGCTTTACCTGTGTTGACTGGAATTGTGCATTTTTGGTTGTGAATTGAGGCACTCTTCCAGAATTGGAAACACTCGGTGTTATAAAGCGAATAATTATTGTTTTTGAACGAATCTGTGCGTGGTCTATCCAGACAGGATAGAATGACATTTATTTGTTGTGATTGGTAATTTTCTTGCATCCTTAATCAACTTTCTTATTTATTGTAATTTAGATTTGATCAATTGAACAATTAGTGGTTGGATAGCTGAGTGGTCATATTTGTTTAGGTAATAATGCACATTTAAATTTATGGTAAATTATAGAACCGTCATCTTACCCAATTACTTTGTTTTGGTTTCAAACGGGCAAGGGCGCGTATCTAACCCACCTAGACAGCTGCCCATCAGTCCAAACCGTTGTTTGGATCTTACAATATCTTTATATCCGGTGTTGTTTATCCCGACTTTGGCGTTTAGATCTCCCATCAGAATGGTGAGGTCCTTTCTTGGGCACTTTTCTATGATTGATTGCAGACGCTCATATAATTGATGTTTATTGTCGTCGTTGCTATCTTTGGTTATTATTATTATTCCCAAACATCGTACGGGTATAAAAGTGTTGTGAAGAAACCATTTCGGGTTTCTTCAAAAAATGCAATAATACACAATTTTCAATAATGTCAACATTATATTTGCCATATTTAAAAAAAACAATAGAGCAATAATAATAGAATATTAATAATAATAAATCGGGTCTGTGTAATTGAGAAGAATAATGAATGGAGTTTAAAGAAGAAAATGGAGAAAATAAGGGAACAGAAATAAAGGAGACGTGAAATACCCATAACATTGGGTAATATTCATTGTGGTCCCCTCCTTCTTTGTTATGAATGATGCTTTGACGATTCTGGATCCGTGGGATTTCCATCCTACAAGTCCATCTCGTGCTCATTTGGACAGCATTAGAGCAACTCCCTGAGTGTGTGGAGCATTTTAATCTTCGTGACCAGAGAATAGCTGCATCTCCCCCGTATTTAACCTTTGCTGTACAGCGTGGGTCCATTGGATTTCGCTGATTCCTAGTACTGCCAAGTTGTATCTTCTCGTTTCCGCTGCTATTTGACTGGTCTTCCCAGTCTCCCACATTGTCCGGACCTTTCATGTACCTGTAAAAATTGTTCTTCTGGTTGTTAGAAGGGCCATCGGCCTCGTGGCTTCTGAAGAAACTCGGCTTTCACTATGAGGCGTTATAGTTCCTC